TATTATACTGGATTAACAAAAATGGAAAGAATTTCTACATTTTTCTCTGTACAATAACTATATTAAACATTCAAACTTTACATGTAAACACAAGGAATTCCAGTGGGAAGTTCATATTCCGCTCATATTTGTAACCTATTTCTATTTTCTAAAGAATTTAAATTCCTTTAAAGCCTTTCTGATAATGATTTCAGTAAATTTGAACACACTGATGACATTATTACTTTCAACAATTTTAATCTGTTTGAAAACAGCAACATCTACCCAACTAAATAAGACCAATAAAAACCAAACAGAAATAGTTTATCTTGTTCTAAGTATTCATAAACTAAAGGAAATTAAACTTTTTGATAAACGTAAAGATTTTAATTTTTTTATTAATTGGAGCTAATGTATCTAAAAAAGATATTGCAAATACTATTTTTAGCCAAATTAGTAGAATTAAAAAAGTTTGCACTGAAATAGAAACACACACACACGCACACACATACAAAAAAAGAAATTCTAATTCTCATCACAATTTTAAAAGCAAATGAAAACCCTTTAAAATTCATTAATAGTATATTAAAGAAATCTGGAGTAGTATACACCCTATACTACTTTTTAAAAGTATGAATTTTTTATCTGAAAGCTCCAAAAGAGTAAGATGTTTTAAAAGGTATATATATATATATATATATATATTTAAATGACTATTCTATTACTAACCATGACCTTATATACAGTACAAAGTCTGTAATCCGGACTCGTCAGGACTTCGGTGATTCCGCATTAGAGGTTTTTCCGGATTATAGATCATCAATTTAAATCTCGTAAGATGGCATGCAGAAATTATATAATTAAAAATATGAAACCGTAATTTATGAAATAAAGAGCAATTATGATCTAAAGGGTATCAAAATTTACAAAAAAAAAAAAAAAAAAGCTTAATATTTATTTGTTTACTTTAGCAAACATTTCTATCAATGTAAGTTGTTTAAGTTGCTTCGTTTTTTTGTGCTTATACTTTCTCTTTAATTCTATAAACAGACATAATTCCTTGTTCAGTTACAAAGTTCCACTGTTTAAGTCCTGTAATTGCTGTATCGAGAATACCAACTAACTTGTCGATCGAAATTTTTTTGTTTTCAATAACGTTCTCTGTTACTATCTTTACTATTGGAAGCGCCCATGGGTAAATGCTTTACTGGCTTTACGCGCATGCATAAACGCATTACGTGCATGTGTAAGTTTGTGGCTTTAGGGTCCGGATTATAGATAATTTCGGGTCCAGATTAGAGACTTTGTATTCAAAGTTGTATATTCAAATACAATTTCTTTGAATACAAAATACATAAAAAAAAAAAAAAAAAAAAAAAAAAAAAAAAAAAAGAACAAATTCAATTCTTTGAATATACAAATATTTGTATATTCAAAGTTGTCATGAGAAGCCCATGACTTTTCTAACATAGTTCCTTTGCTTCCTTTTTCAATTTTTTTTCCTGTAATTTTAAATTACAAAATTTGAAAACTAAAATTCAACTTTATAGATTTTTTTACTCATATCTACAAAACAATTATTAAAAACTATTTGATCACTTTTTGGACTACTTTTTGAGTCTTTTTTTTAAGGATTAATTGATTTTAAAATTTAATTAAAGTTTCACGCTAAATAATATACTGGTTATCATAAATTAAGGAAAAATCACAAAAATCACGATTACTGAAAAAGTTACATGTAGAATTTTATGAAACTTACCTACAATATACAACACATAGTAAGGTATCAAATAACATAAAAAGAAATTACCAGACAATTATAGTAGTATAGAAATTAGCACTTGTATAAAATGAACAAATCGAAGATGTCTGTTTGCTATAGTAAACGTACCTTCAATATGGAATATAATCGCCTCTAGAAGCAATACAGCACATTCAGCGATGTGTGATGCTTTCAATTATGCGGTCTATCAGTTCCATAGGAAGCGAGAGCCATTGCTCTTGCAAAGCAGTTGCAAGCGCGGCAAGGGTCTAAGGGGGCGGTCTAATTACGAATTTCAATTTCTGGTCTTTGTGAAATATTTGGTTTTAAATTTCTTACTTTATGTCTTTAAATGATAATTTTTCTGCAGCAATAATGCATGAAAATACTAAACATGTTTATATTTTGTTTTCAAAAGAATTATTTTGTAATTATATATATATAAGTAAAGGCATAAGGTAAGAAATTTAAGCATAATGCATGAAAATACTAGACATGTTTATATTTTGTTTTCAAAAGAATTGTTTTGTAATTATATATATAAGTAAAGGCATAAAGTAAGCAATTTAGAACCAATTTTTCACAAAGACCAAAAATTGAAACTCATAAGTAATAAATTTCAAATAATCCTATAAAAGGAATTTAATAAATGTTAAAAACGAAACACTTCAAACAAGCAATACTCCAATTAAAAAAATCAATGAAATTTAAAGAAAAAAGAACATAATAGAAGAGGAATTCAATCAACTTCAATGCTACTTCATCAGGAGGAGGACCACTGAAATCTCTCCTACACAAAAATCCCTGCTTTTCTGTATCTAGATTTAGTCGGTGAACCATTTCAATGTGTTTTAATTAAAATAGTTCACCCAAAAATTCTGGATCCTCCCCAAAGCAAGGAAAACAAAGTAAATTCTTATTAATTCCTACTTTATATATATATATATATATGTGTACACACACATACATGTAGAAATTTTTGAGAAGTTTTGAGTACTTATGAACATTTTTAGAACAATGCCCAAATATGCACTAGAGAGCCTAATAATATTATTAAAAATTCAAACAATAAGTAGAAATAATGTAGCCCAAAAATTTTCATACAGAGTATGAAAGCTATACAAATATTTATAAATATCATTTCATGTGTTATAGTCTATTTTATAAGATTGTAAGGATCTTAAGTTTTACTAACGTTTATTTTATTTTAAATCTTTACTATCACCTCTTATTTTCTACTTCCGGCCAGAATTATAAGCATTAAAGTATTTATGCAAAGTTTGTCTGGCGAACGCCAAGTATTTAAGTTGTGGCTTTTTGCCAAGCGAGAGAGAGGAAGCAGTTAGTCGAAGCAGGCCGCTTACCTTAGAAGTTTACTCAGTTTGCTGGTTGCCTTCCGGGCTAGAGGTTTTAATCCTCTTGATAATTTTAAACGTATTGTAGTGTTCACAGTTCTCTGTACTACATACGGCTTCTTGTTAATATAAGGCAAATCTTCCACGTTTATTATTTTAAAGTTAAATTAGAGTTTAGTTTCTATTTTTATATTTTACGTTAGACCCCAAGTAGCGGGTCTGTGTATTCCGAAGTACGGAAGTTATTGTAAATAGAGAAAAATAAAGGGTTTTGTATACCCTTCTTGTGTATCCTGTCTACTTCCCACAGTTTTGAACATAGCTTTAGTAAGCTTTCTGTTCCGAGTCAGGTCCTTGCATGTTCCCGAAGAAGGTAAGACGGAACATTGAACCTGATAAGATGAACATTTCTTTCTTGGCATTTATCAATGATTACACTTCACATTAATTATTCTACAGAGCATAAAATAAAGTGATAAAATTGCTGAATATAAGGAACTTTTTGACTTTAAAAATCCTGAGTAACATGTTGTTGCAACTTGTCTAAATTTAGAAAGTTCTACAGGTCTTTTTTTCTGGTCTTTTATAGAGTTTTTGTTTGTATACTGTTGTCAAGAGCATTTTTTTATTATAAATAAATGCACTTCTTCATTTGCACTACAGGCCAAGGCTGTCTCAACAAGTTCTTCCGATGGATCCGATCGGTCGCTACGGTCCTCCAACAACTGATTTTTAAAGTCTTGAGATCTATCTGCCTCCACACAGTATATCTAGTATCTTGTGTGGGATTTTCCTCTTTTCCTGGTACCCTCTACACTTGCAAAGGTTTTTTTTTTTTTAACAGTGTTCAAGTTGTTGCATCTAAAAATATGTCCAAGCCACCTGATACGATAAGATTTAATGACTCGGACAATATTAAGTTATAAGGTATTTCTCCCGCCTTCCTAGCGTGCTTTCGTGGTGTAGTGGTCAGCACACTGGGCCGGTATTCCAGAGATCCGTAGTTCGATTCCTGGCAAAGATGTTGCTAATTTTTCACTTTTCCTGCTTCCAAAAATATACCTAATGTCTCTACAAGGTTGTTTGTATCTTCTATAAATTTCATGGTTAAACAAAATTCTCCATTTGTTATTTTCTCTATCTGGGCTTTTCTGAGTATTTTTCTTTCAAAGATTAAAAGTCTTCATCTTTTTATGTTAATGGCCAGCATTCACTACTATACGGTAAGATAGTCTAATAAGAGTTGTTATAAATATTTATTTTTATAATAAATATTTATACAACTCTTATTAGACTATCTTATCATACAGTATGGTATAGTTTAATAATTTAGACATTAAAAAATTCTTCAAAGCATGATAACATGTATTACTTCAGGATTACGGACTCTGAAAAGTTCGATCTTTTCCCAGATATAATAATATAATTCAAATATGAAGGGGAAAGGTAATTTAGTTCATTGGAACAAAGATCTTTGTGCATCATGAAAAATTATTTTTAAAAAAATGAAGCTAGAGTTGAGTCCTTACATGCTAAAACTGGAACTTAAGTATTAGTTTTAGCCCTAACTGATCCATGTTTGATCCTAACTGATCCATGTTGGCCATGTTTGATCAGTTAGTGCCATGTTTAGATTGCCATGTTTGTCTTCCTCAGTTAGTTAGACAAATATGGCCCTAACTGATCAAAAATTACAGTAGCATAAAAAATTTCAACTGCTAAGTTTTTTTTTTTTTTTTTTTTTTGGTTGATTGAATTTGAGTAAAACTTAGCAACTATTGTTGTACAACAAAGCTTCATTATTATTACAGCATTAAAAATGATCTTTGTTTGTATTACTGTGTATTATTATAATTGTTTTCTTTTAATCAGTCAATATAAAAGATTATTATTATTTTTTTTAGACTTTGAAAGTTAAAAAGAAATCTGTAAATCTGTCTTCTGGAAGGTCTCAACCACAAACTTCTGTAAGGCCTCATCTGATAGAACTTTCAGATGATATTGTTTTGTTTAGAAAATTGAATCTTTCACAGCCATCAGGAGAAGGTATTTTTATCATTTTTTTACTAGGTACTGAGTTTTGAAACTAGATTTCTTGTAACTGTGGGATTAATAATCAAAAGGAAGACAAACATGGCAATCTAAAATTTTGTAAAGAACTAACTACTGATTTTGAGATGAATCAGACCCAAGTCCTTATTTTTCATTAGGAAAAGAAGAGAGACCTGTGTCTGATCCCCTTGAAACTAGTTTTATTCAACATCTGTGGCAAAGTAAGAGTAATTAATAAGTTTCAGTTTGAAATTTAAAATGTATGGGCTACGTATTAATATAGTTTTCAGTTTATTGAAAAATTTATATATAATAAAATTGGCTTTGCATACACAAATAAAAAGGGGGCAGATACCTTGGACTGGCTGTGAGCTGACTTTGGTGCCTGCATTTTGTTCAAATGACTTCATTGTGTTCTGGGAGACACGATAATATGGAAAATTAAGACTAAGAGCACTGTCCATCCCACGTCACAGGAAGAATCCATCTTATAGCCCTAGAAGGGCAGCACCTGTTCTAAAAACAAAAAAGAGGGCATCCATCAGCCCAGCTGTACCATAATTCGGTGAGCTTAAATTTTAATGTTAATCTAAAATGTAAAAAATTTTAAACAAAATTTAATCTAAAACTAAGTTTAAGCATAATATACATATGTAATAATAAATTGGTATGAAGAGAGAATTTAATAGTAACATTCACAAATTTTTTTGGCTGGATAGCATGGATGGTGATAGCAGATAGCTTGACTTTGTGGCATAGTAGATAATTGGAACTCTTTTGAAGAATCACAAAATTATTTGATAATTTGACATCTCATTATTACTCATTGATTCTTATCAACATATCTGATTGCATAGCCCAACACAATGGAGTAATTTAAATGATGCAGTTACATTTTTTAAATAACAGAGAAATATGGTTTAATGAAGAGGTGTGATTTATCAGGACAGTGCAAGCGACAAAAGAGCAATATATGATAGTTGCAGTAGTATTTACAGGGTTGCCATGCTACCGGGAAAACCAGAAAAAGTCTGGGAGTTGACCAGAAAATTTAGGGACTTTAAATATTTTAGTCAAAATCTGGAAAAGTCAGGGAATTTCATACAGCGATCCCGCCAAAAAAAGCAAGTTTTATGTTGACGTTGGAAGCGATCACTTTCTTGGCGAATTGTGTATCACATGAGCGTCATTCGGGCAGCTGGCATAGAGCAATTTTCGCAACTCCAATTAGATTGTCTTTTAGAAAAGCAAAGCAAGTTTCCAGCAACTTTTGGTTTCCAGTAACCTCGAGAATCGCATGTGCAGTGCATGTTGAACCAAAGAAAGTACTTATTCTTGTATAAAACAAAATGGGTTTAATCCTAGTATACTGTACATTGGAGGTTTGAATCAAAGAATATGTATTGTAAAGAAGGAAAAACCTCTCTGCAACAGGCGTGGCTCCGTTCCAACATTGAGGAAAACAGCTGTGCATACGTGAAATATCTGTTGCCAAAGCTCGAAGCCGGTGTCGAAGTTCCAAGGTCACATTATCAAGAGTTCATAAAATGAATATCATTTAAAATTTCTTTAAACTTTAACCCGCGAGAACATGCACCCATTTTTGAGCACGAAAACTCGAGCCAGGTATCTCATACCCCAGTTCATTTCTACTATTGAAATATCAATTAATACTGTTTATAAGCAAACCTTATGTAATTAAATATTACAAAATAATACATTAAAGAATTTTAGTGAATTTAATTATGCATACATACATGTTTAAAGAAAATTTTGACAAACTACATACTGATGTTCAACACAGATTTATTTCATATTTTTGGCTCATAAATCTTGATTTTCTGTCCTTATTTCATGGACAAAATGCACATTGTTTATAATTTGCTTTGAGATTTTATACCAGGCGGTTCACTATTATCAATTTCCAGTTCCTTAGAAGTGCTTCGAAGTTTCAGGCTTACGGTTTCTGTATTGTTCTGAAAGAATGAGTTCCAGTGTTTTAAAAAAGAAACATCTTCTTCTGAACTGTGCGGGATGTTTGTGGACATCAACAAATCCTGACCTTAATAACAGTCTCATTCAACATGTAAAATAAAATAACCATTGGCCAGCGATTTCATATCCTCGCTGTAGTGTATGCTGGGGCCATTTCGTCGACAACGCCCACAGCTCCTTTCGTTAGATTATAAAGCATGATGATATTAGATTTTTGTTTCAATTCCATTGTGATTTCGTGTATTTTGTCATCAGTATGAATTGTGGATAATATAACTACATTGATGTTCTTTTTTGCAGAATACGAAGCAATTGTTTTTTCTTTTTGAAATCCTAACCAGAAGAGCGCTGCTCTTTTTTCTCCAAAAATCCAGGTGGTATTTCTCTTTTATTTTGTCTAAATTTTTCAACCACTGTAAGTTTATTTTTCAAAAGTCCTTGCCCTAGCTGGTATTCCGTATACCAATTGTCAGTTGTCAAGTTGCGTCTAAAATTAAAAAGCTGTGTTATCAACTGCATCACAATGGATTTCGAGCTACAGTCTATTTTGAATGGTCCATTGAGTTGTTGACCGGCATAAACCTCCATATTCCAGGTATAAAATACTCTAGAATCTACTAGTGCAAATATCTTGATGCTATACTTAGGCTTTTGGGGCATATATACTGCCTGAATCCACACCACAGAAAACATTCCATGCATCTACGGGAGAAGCAACATCTCTTGAATAAGCTGTATTACCTGGAAGCTTGCTAATTATATCCCTTGAAGGCTTCCTAACATTTTGCCAGTATTTTTTCTTCTGCCATTTTGTAACTTTATCTTTACCAATATATAAAAATTGGTTGTTGACAGTGAACTTTCATCTTCTGTTTCTATCTCAATTTCGTAATTGGGTAAGAATTGTAATTGCTACAGTATTCAGTCCTCCTTCAGAGGCAACTCTATCATCAGATATAGGTTCATCATCACTAGAAACAGTCTTGATAAGGTGTTGAAAATATTTATTTTCTTTATTGTAATTCAAATAGTGCGTCATAATTCACTAAGCTGACAGAAAAAAGGAAAGATCTGACCGACACGAGGACTAGCATGGGTAGTCCTCGCGTCAGTCAGATTCTCGTTGCCAGGTTCCGTTGCCAAATCCCTTGGTAAATTTTCCCTCCACTTTCTAGCAGCATATTATGCTGCTTTCTAGCAGCATTACGTCTGTGAAACCTTTTCTTTTTTATATAGATGTTCTTTGGTTAGAATAACCTCCACGTGCGGTACACATGGGATTTGGCAATATTATGATGAGCAGTAAACGGGTGAATTTGGTGCTGGTGACATTTTTCAGAATCGGGCCAAGGCCTTACCGTATACTAGGATTTTACGGCAAATTTTTTTTTTTTATCAAATGCCTTATTTGTCATTTTGAAATAAAATAAAAAAATAGTAATCAGTCATCTAGGCTAACTATGTAATATAATATTTGCTAAAATATCATTGATTTTCAATTTTTAAGTAATTATCTTTATTTTTATGTTATTCATAATCATTTAATGTTGCTTCTTCCTTAATTTTATTTGTTATTAGTAAATAATGCTTCCAAATTTCAGGAAATTTTCTCTGGCATAATCTTGAAATTAATTCTAGCAGTATGATGACATACCATCACGAAATTCAATGCACATATTTTTTGCTTATTTATGCTGTGAAATAAATATAAAATACCTCTGTTTATTTTTAAAATATCATTAAATAGATTTATTTCTTTTGTGTAGCTGCAAAATGTCTGCAAAAAAGCCTACTTTTATTTCAGATTGGGCAAATTCTAATCTCAATCTTCAGTGGAGAAAATAATTCCTATTATAATTATAATAGTGTGCTTTGGGGATATAAGTCGTATGTAATTGGAAAATTTTTCTGTTTTCAAGTAATACCATAATTAATTTACCTCTTAGCCCAGCCAACGTGCATTACGCGAATAGACTGGAATTTTCTTGAAACACTTCTTGAGTCAGGGAATTTCATTCCATTCTTCATTGAATGGCAACCCTGTATTTATAAGTATCCAAACATTTTTAGGGTAAACCTAGGTATTACTTTAATGCATCTGTTGTACTTTAGTACTTCATAAATGGTTCAGTTGGAAGTTCAACAGTAATATTGGGTTTTAATGAAAGTTTCCCACTACCGCAAATATCGTCTGCACAAACAGTCTGTGTTGGATGTTTAATTGTATTTTTTTGTCAAGTGATTTTTCGCATTTAAGAGAAAGAGACTTGCTTTAGAGAACTGTGTTAGGAAATTTACAAAAAAATATTGTTATCATTAAGTGCAAGGTGTCTGAAATGGAACTATCATGCTACTAGATTCGAACCATCATTTACTTCCAGATCTGTTGCAAAAAGTCAGTTACAGAATGTCATCAAATCATGTGTACAGCTTTAGGTACTAATATTGTATCAAATGACACTGTGAAGGTTTGGTACCAAAAGTTAAAAAACAAAGACTCTGACATTAAAGAAGTGGAGCATTCTGGCCAGTCAACTGATGTTGAGGCCTGCCTGTGAGAACTTGTGGAAGATGATCAGTATGCAACCACTCAAGAGCTTGCTAAGGAGTTAGACGTTAGTGCCATGTCCATTAGTCACACTATGCATCACATACACTTGATGTAGTAGTTCAATTGCTAGCTTACTCAAGCAAATAAGCTTGAGCTGACTCAAGCAGATAAGAACAGACGTTATTCGTACATGCAGTAATTTGCTTGAATATGAACGCAAGCACAAAATTCTAGACCAGATTGTCACTTGTAATGAAAAGTGGATTTACTTCAACAACACAGGCCAAAAAGGGGGTTGATCTGCACCCAGTGACCACGTCAGCAGCATCGCAAAGCACAATTTGACTAACAAAAAGATTGTGCTTTGTATCTGGTGGGATTGCTGTGGTGTTATCCGCAAAGAGTATCTGGAAAAAGTAAAACCTTCGACAGTAAGGTGTACAGCAAG